CGCTCTTCCTCGAATTCGGATCTTGCTCGAAAACGCCTCGATGGTCTTTTCTAGCTTTCTATTATTCGATGCATCGAAATGCATCGGGAATCCTGTACGCGTATCGAACGTGTAAAAATACTAAATGTTTCTACAAACTTGAATTTTCCAACTAGCTATCGCGATAGCGACGCATCCCTCTCCTATCGCGAGATCCTCCCGAAACGAACTCGAGCTTATTCGTCGTTTCGTGGTACGGTATACGTGTATTTACGTACGCGTGTACCTTGATTGTTCGTTCGAGCGAAACGAATTAAACTGCTTATTCCGTTGGAACGTCGTTGTATTTCGGTTGTTTCCCGATTTCGTATTCGATGGTAAGAATTCGATCGGACAGGATCGACGAAAATTCCGTTCAAAGTCTGTATATAAAAGCTTATACTCGGCAATAAATTCTCAATCGTAAAATCTCATTTGTCCGACCCTATAACGTAGTTCAGATCTCGATGCGGATCTCGAGTAACGATTTCGTCTATCGTGGAATACGAGTTTGTCTTTGCGAAAGTGATCTCGAATAGACGGTTAAGCTTAAGAACATCTGTTACGACCGTGTCGAATCTAAACGGACTATCAAGGCCGATCTTTATCTCGATTAAGTTGGCGGTAGAAAAAGCGAAATTCCTAATCTTTTCCCAGTCTTTTCCCTCTTTTCGTACGTCCTCCAAGGGGAATCCACGCGAGAGAACGCGAGTTGCCCGTATCTCGATAAACTACTAGAAAGAAGGATCTCTGGATACTTTCATCGACTTTGCTCGAAAGAGGCGAGTCGAATCGAATCGAATCGAATCGAATCGAATCGAATCGAATCGAATCGAATCGAAAGAGGAAGGACGAAAAAGAGAATCCACCGAAAGGATATCTGTTTTGTTTGCCACGATTGCTACGTACGACGAATTACGAGTTACGAGATACGAGTTACGAGTTACGAGTTACGAGTTACGAGTTACGAGTTACTGGCTACGGCCGGCCGAGCTTTCACGGAGAATTGTGTTCAGCGGAATTGTCGCCAAGTCCTTTTAAAAGGAAACAAGCGCCGAGTGCGTATAATGGCCAGCATCCACGGTAGAAATCTCCGTCTAACGGCGACCACGAACTACGGCGACGTCGACGACGAGATTTTCTTTCGTGTGAGTCTTCTCGTGACGAACGTTTTAATAAATCGCGCTACGGATATCATACGGATCGTCGCCGTTTCTTCTTTATCGCGCTGCCATGCGCATCTTTCTTTCGATACGTCCAATTAGACGTATCGATGTTTAAAGTCAGTAGTAGGCGCGATGGAAAGATACGACAGATATGCCATTTCCAAAATGAATAAGCGAGAAAAAGCGTTAGAATCGCTGAGGAGGATTTTATCGGGATAGAAAAATTTCCGACTCGTAAATCAATTTCAGCAGTACACGTGCAGAAACAACGTAACACCGGTGTTTCTTTTTTCTTTCTTTTCTTTTCTCGTACAGGGGTGTCTTGCCTTTTATAATCCTTTTAAGGCACCCGTAGCATTTCTGTATTCAAGTAAGTGAGAAATTCGAAGCTTTGCACTTTATAAAAACGATACCAATCGCATGCATTAACGTGCAAAATGTACCGAGTGTTGCGAAGCAAAATTTTCCGATGTACTTGCGCTGTTGTACAACGAACACGCTAATGACTGGCGAGGGGAAAGAAAAAGAAAAGTAAAGGAGGAAAGAAGGAAACAAAGGCAAGGCAGAAAGAGAGAAAGAAAGAAAGGAAGGAAAGAGGGAAGGAAGGAAGGTAGGAAAAAAGGAAGAAAAAAGAAATAGAAGGTATCGAATGGGTGTCGATGTCGAAGAAAAACATTGTAAGCGACGAAAACAGAGTAATCCGATCGATGGAATAAAAGAATCCGGCAACTCGTCTTATCCTTCGACTATTGTACTATCATACGCGCGAATAGGAATTATTTTTCTAGCACGCATTCGTGCTAACATTCGATCACGTTATCGATCGCGAAGATGAGTTTACCTTTCGCATCTCCGTGCAAAGGGAAAGTTGCTTAAGACGGAAAATCGATTCGACTCTGTTGACGAACTTTTAACCAGTGATTAAAATGTTGAAAGGGTCGCGCGACATCTCGGCAATTGCCCATGAAATTAACGCGCGTAATCTCGAGGAAAAGAAAATTCCCGCGAGGTGGAATAAACGGATAGAAAAGAAGGAATGTTGAAAGGAGACGAGGCTAGCGATGCTCGATTAAGCTCCTGCGGAAGCTTGCTACCAGCGTACGCGCGCTCGAGTTTAACTAATTAAGCCGAGCAAATGATCATTGTCAATGGGTTACACGGAATCCACGGATACGCGTGAGAGGTCTAGCCGCGTCTTACTGTCTGACAATGCCGATAGAATGAACTTGGAATTGATATCGAAACAATGGAACAGGGATGGAAGACGCGTGTACGCAGGAAGAGAAGGAACGAACGAACGAGTACAAAGGAAGAAACACGCAACGGTAACGATGAAGCATGCTGAAACGTTAACAAATCGCTCGTTTCATTCTCCCAACCTGTGCGTAATAATTAATTCCGTATTGTTTTTTAATTTGCCTCGAAGAGAGGTATCTACGAATATCTTTTCTCCCTAATAAGGATAGAATACTACCTACTACTCTTACTCTCTTACGACTTTTCTCTTTTTCTTTTTTTTTCTCCTAGCGACTCGCGTCGTCGTCGTCGTGGTCGTCTATGACGACTAGCGAAATGGTAACGCGACCGGTGAGGACGCTGTCAACGGCTGTTGAGACGCATAAATTCTTATGGTGCCTTATCGTCCAAGCGATACGAAATGGCTATCTCGGCTAACAGTCGTGCGAATATAAACATTGTCGTTACTCACGGATTATAAAATCCGACATTTGTTAGATTGACACGGCGTCGTTGGCGTGTTAACGAATTACGACTGGGACGCTACCTTTCTCTCCGATTAAAATATTCGGAGATCAATTGGGAAAGCTATCTCCTGGAAGGTGGCCGTGGCAGAGGCGAATGCTTTCGTTATCAGCCGGGTAGCTTGTGTAAAGTGAGAGTGAGAGCGAGAGAGAGAGAGAGAGAGAGAGAGGAAGCCGAAGAAGCAACGGAATCGGTATAATTTAATTATTCCCGAGCAAATGGTGAAAATTTGTTCGTGCAAATGGTAAAAAGATAGTCGTTAACGAAATTTTACGCGACGCTCCTTACTCGCGCGTTCGTTTTATTCGTCCCGTTTCTTTGCTTTTCCTCGCACGGAATACAGTCTAATCGAATCAATCGTAAATTATCCCGAAGATATTATAACAAGAGTCGACCGTTTCCTGTAAACCGTTTTCCCAATCGTTCCTAGCGAATCGTTTCTTTCTCGATTTATCTCTGCCACTCGATATAACGTAGATGGAGGTATACGATTCGTGCGAGTATCGCGACTAAACGACGCCTGTACGGCGAATTCCGCGATGATTTAGATCATGAACGTCCTCGTGCGTGTTACGTAGACCGAAAAAAATATGGAACAAAAGTTTGTCCATCGCCACCCCCTGGTCGTCTCACTGCCTGGCCGCCACGCCGCCTCGCCGCCTCGCCACCTCGCCACCTCGCCACCTCGCCACCTCGCCACCTCGCCACCTCGCCACCTCGCCATCTCGTCCCCTTCTCCGCCGCTATTAAAGGAATCGATATCGAAGAGGCAATGGTGCTTTATAGTTTCTTTAGTTTCTTCAAAAAGAATGACGTGTTCACCGGCTATGTATAGTGACGGGAATATTAACGTTCAAGTATCACGCATGTCGTATCGTAACGCGTCTATCAAGCAACCGACGTGCGTCCTAGGGCTGACGACCACGAATCTCTGCGCGCGCGGAATATTCGCCGAGGTTCGTCTATAACGTCTAATCTAGATCGATCCGATCGACGACGAATCGACAGTTGGAAAAATCCTCGGCGCGTACGTAGAGCCGAGGACGCGTGAAATTGGCGATCATCGCGACAGTCGGTCGGCTATCTTTTCTCTCCAGTAGGGAGGATCATCGACTTTCGAACGCGTACGTATGTATATTCCTGGCGGAATACGATGGCGATAGCGGCGAATCTCGTGTACTCGTGGTACGCGTTGTACCACGATGGAAGGGAAACGAAAAGCTCGTGTGAAAGCCGACTGAGAAAGAACGGTGAATTATTCCATCGTGGAAAACATCTCGTTAATTTAGCCACGACAAATACGTTAGACAGGAATGACGAGACACGGCCGTAAATGCTGGCCAACATTGCTGCTTCTACCTCTGGCTAGCTCTATTACCCTTATTGTTAAACTTAGAGTTACTGAACTACAGAACGAACTATAGACAGTTGTGGCGCGATACCCATATCTACGAGCCACGTGTCTCCCGCCGTGTGGCCACGCATGCATGCGAACCAAGGTGCCGTTCGTGACGTTTTCTGCGTATACCTATTTCCCTCTCCATTTCATCCCATCACATTGTTCGCACACACATTCTCTCTCTCTCTCTCTCTCTCTCTCTCTCTCTCTTTCTCTCTCCCCCTGTCTCTGTATGTCACGGAAAAACCCTGGTCTTCTTTCGGGATTGAGGCAACGGACCAATGTTTGCAACGCGATCGTTCTGGAAAAATGGCGAATCGCGTTGAAACGCGTGGAAGCGCGTGGAAGCGCGTGGAAGCGCGTGCGACAAGTTTCGGTATCGAATCGATAGGCGAATAGATGGCGAGAAAAGAGCTTGAAAAGGTTGAAATTCGATAATAAGTGGTGCGATGGACGGATTGGCGTGGACGGAACCGGGGAGTAGAGACACGTGCGACGAGTAACATATCGTAATGGCGAACGAATACGTTCTCGATCTGACAGCGGACGCGAGAGAAGAAGGGAGAAGAAGGGAGAAGAAGGGAGAAGAAGGGAGAAGAAGGGAGAAGATATGGATATAGGGGATATAGGGGAGAAAATGAATGTACTTACCGGGTTCGGCGAACGTAATGATCTCCGAGGTTCTCGCGTAGAAATCGTCCATCTCTTCCTCCGGTTCTTGGTCCTCGTGTTCTACATAGCCTCGATACGAAGGAACGATTTTCGCGTTGTCTTTCGTAGACCCGTCGACTCGTTGATAGAGGTTTCTATAGGAATACTCATCGGCACCGTAAAGAAATTCCGCCGAATACACGTTCTCGCGATCGTCCCTCGATCTATCGAACGATGGATAACGAGAGGACTGCGCTTCGGCTCTGTACAGAGTTTCCAATGCCAAATGCCTAGGTACCGTGGCCAAAGTCCTATTGACATCCGGCCGTGTCCTAAGACCGAGTTTCGTGAGTATTTGATGTTTAATAGCCTCTAGTCTCAGATCGTCGGGGGTGGGCGCGGTGGTGTCTTTCCTCTCCGAATCACCACCACCGCCTCTGTGATGCGTTTCGTGAATATGCTGTTGTTGTTGTTGTTGCTGCTGCTGCTGTTGCTGCTGATGTTGTTGCTGCTGCTGCTGTTGCTGCTGCTGCTGCTGCTGCTGCTGTTGCTGCTGCTCTCGTTGTTGTTGCTGTTGTTGCTGCTGTTGCTGCTGTTGATGCTGGTGCGGACAGCCTGGGCAAGTTTGGTGATGATTTTGTCGCGGTTGTACCGGGGAAAAGGTTAAACAACACAAGGCCAGTCCTATAAGGAGAACGTTGGACGGTACCAATGATCCTCTGTATCTAAAGAGAATGCGAGAGGAGGATAGATCGGATCGTTGATCCCGAGAGGACGATACGATCGATGGATCGTACGGCGTCGCGGCAGCGGCGGTAGCGGCGGTAGCGGCGGTAGCGACGGTAGCGGCGTTAGCTCTACCGGCACGCCGGTGAGCACGGCAATGACGATCCCGGCACTCGATTTTCTCCCAGAACCTCTCGTTTCGACCTGCGTTCGAATTAAGTCCTGCTCGGTACGACACCTGGTGCATTTCGGCGGCGAGTCACCTCCTCCACCTCCACCACCACCTCCTCCTTCCTCTGTACCTCTTTCTTTCTCCTCCTCGATCCGCTTCCGGTTCGAGCAACGTATCCTCGGTTTTTCTCGATCCACGACCACCACCACCGACGATTCGCTCGTGCTCGGTTCTGATCCTATCGGTATCGCGATTCGGAAGAGGAATAGAGCCGACCGCCGAAGCGAACGAAACGATATTATTACGGTCGAAATAAACAGGATGCTGCCGAACGTGCGTGCAAAGAACGTTAGTTTCGGACCAACGATACAGAGACGATAGGGTGTGACGAACACGACAGGAACCTGTTGAGAAGGTAAAATTCGAGTGGGACGGTGACGACGACGATGGCGATGACGACGACGACGACGACGACGACAGGGAAAAGGCATTCTCGCCTAAACCCCCCATTACCAACTACCCGGTGACGCTGTTTCAGGATCGATCTCACCCGCAAGATGGACCGCCGGAACCGGGTACACCCTGCTCGCGTTTTCGGCCATTCGCGCTTTCGTTTTCACCGATTCCACGTCTCCACCGGTATGCGCCTCTATCCGATAACTTTCTTCCCCTTTCCTTCTTCTTTCTTTCCCTTCTCTCCCTTCTCACCCTTCTCTCCCTTCTCTCCTTCTCCTTCTCCTTTTCTCTCCTTTCCCTCCC